AGGGAAAAACAAACAGAAAAAACGCAGACAAACATCCATGCCTTGAGTGGGATTTGAACCCACGATCCCAGCGTCCGAGAGAGCGACGGCATTTCATGCCTTAGACGACGCTACCGCTGTGATGGGCTAGTGCAAGTGTAGCACCTATAAATTCACTACTTACATTTGCAAGTACCCATAATGGGTAGTCTGCAGGTACTGGGAAGAGAGCAGGTCTGCGTTAGGGAACGTAAAATTCAGTTCCACAGATATTAACAGTCTGTAGCTGCAACTGGATTGGCCGTTCATTCCCTGTGATTGTGGGTATAAGTTCCCCTCGGGATGGGTGTTCTTCTGAGGTTCGATGTACCGCCATGTACAGAGTGAATCCTGCTGCTTGTCTGCAGGGGAGGAGCTCGAAGAGGACGGTGTGTAACACAAGCACCAACAGTTCGTAACTCAGTGCTTTATTTTGTATCCAAGTTGTTTTCTTCCGGGTTATTTATTTAACGACATCCACTCGGGTAGACATGTTAGAAATAAATCAATCGTGAAGGTATCTCAAAATAAACGGCACAGGTTCGATCCTCTCATTGAGCCGGGTTAGCTTAGTCAGAAGGGTGACTGGTTAAGACTTAGCTGACTAGTCTTCGATTCCCAGCAGGGGCAGAAATTATCCTCTTCGCTATCACTGACTCCGCCCGATTCCATACCCACCAGCCCCCTAGTTACTGGGTACCGTAGGTGAAGCTATCCCTGTAACAAGCCGTGAAGACCCATAGGGTTGTGAGACGTCGAGGCTCCTACATCTTCTAGACAATCGGCTCACAGGTGGAGGTGAGGGTGTCAGCCTTACACACCAGCCGCCCTTTACCCCCAGAAAGATTCCTGGTGCTCATTTCTGTTAGAGGCTGAGTCGACCCTGGGGCCATAGTGCGGCTGGAAGGATTAAATTGAAAGAAATCCAATGACATCATTGGGACTCGAATCCGTGACCTTCCGGCTTGTAGCATAATGCCTCAACCAATTCTACCGCCTGCCCCTCTTAGTCAATGGGTACCAAAGATAAAACGGTCGAGGCGTGGAGCTTTTTTTTTTATTGCTAGTGAGGTGGAACTAAGTCCCTTGTACTGCGGCCAATTCTGGTCTATTGTACCAGGCGCAGATGATAGGTGAGGGTGATTGTGGAGCAATTGGTGGAATGAAGATTGGCAGGATAACCGAAGTACTCGGAGAAAACCTGCCCCAGCGCCACTTTGTCCACCACAAATCCCATTGGACCAGACCCCGGGATCGAAACCGGGCTGCCGCAGTGGGAAGCCAGCGACTAACCACTTGAGCTATGGCGCGGCCCAAGCGTGGAGCTTACTACTCACCTCAATCTATTATGTTCAGAAATGAGTACAGCTCTACTTCCATTCCTTACAAGCACTCAGTGCATAATGCTTACACAAAGGAACTGCTTCGTGTTTAATGGTGATACAGTGTATCTCGTTTAAATATCAATTACAAATTCCTATCTCCAAGAAAACATAAGAAATGTAAACCAGATAGTATTTGTGGAAACAATCGCTGTTCAATGGCTTACTCTCGTTTCTTATGGAAAAAGAAATAGGCTTATGAGATTACCACTATGTGCCTTCTAACATCACAGCCTCTAACGCAATTTCGTATGAACGCCATGCCACCGGTGGCCAGCCCGAACTCGTATTTCTTAATTTACTGCAATCAATAACAATAACATGGAGGACGTGTTAAGCTATGAGATGTCAGCGACGCGTGACACTTAATACAGGATCCTCAGTATGGTAATTGGTCTCGGCGTCTCGATGTGTAGTGTGACGTACAACCAGCACAATGTAAACACACACTCTTTCCAGCGGATGCGCGCGCAGGGTCACGACGTTGTCACGTGTATCCCAAGAATCTGTCGGTGCCAGGTGCGTGTGTATCCATATCTTCTGGCACAAAGCGCTTCAGGACGCTGGTTCCACCTCCGATTATCCAGATAAGATATGCAGTATTCAGCAAAATGTTCAAAAGTACTGGAATTTGTACGAGTAAATGCTTTACTGCTGATAGAGGCTGGATCACTACGTGAAATGTCTTTATATTTTCATTTTCTCTTGTTCCTAGGGTCATAAACAAAGGAATAAACTAAAACTAAACTTCGTGGCCTGTAGTCCACATGCGAACTACACCGACTGAGCGATCGCTGCTTGTCGGCGAAGTTAGTGCCAACTTTAACGGATAGAGGGTGTCGCGTGGTCAGCGCAACGAATCCCCACGGCAGTCAATCTCGGTTTTCTAGACCGGAGTCGCTACTTTTTCATTCAAGTAATCCTGAATTATGCTCACGAGGCTGAGTGGACCCCGTTCCAGAACCACCACTTCTCAGAAAATCTGATAGCGCAGGGAATCAAAAACGGGATCTCTGGATCTGTAACCAGGAACTCTGACCACTAGACCACAGAAGCGGTCTTATGGACTAAGTTTCTTTGCTTGTATCATAAAGGACAAAAGAATTTTCTGGTGACATTTTTGTTCTGTTGAATTTGACAAACTGCCGAAGATAACATAGGCGCAAGGATTATTTTACGATAGCGGAGTAGAGCACGGGCCAAGTAAAAGTGATTACAATTCGACGGCACTTCAGTATCTAACCGACAGGAAACGCGTTTTGTGTGATTCAGGCAAATGGAGAAGAGTTATCTAATCTTAATGGAAGTTGTATGAATTAAGTTCTCACAGTGGTGCATACGAAGAGGTCTGTCTTCCGGGTTGTAACGCTGTCTGGCCTGTTGAAAGTCAACAGGAAAGCAGAGCTCTGTTTTCCACCTGCTTTCACGCTAGTTTCTTGCTTGGATTATTCTTCGACCCTTAAGATGGAGGTGACATGTTCCTCCGAAATGTCCGTTGACTTTCAACAGACCGCACGGCGTTATACCCCAAATGCTAGAACATTTCATAACAGTTATTATAAGGTAAAAACTGTCATTCTTGGAGTATGGAACCAGAAAATCTTCCGGGCTGCAAACCGTAGGCACTATATCGTAATGAAGCTCCGTGGCCTCTAGTCCGCAAGCGAAATATACCAACCGAACGACCGTCTCTTGTCGGCGAAGTTAGTGCCAACTTTTGCGGATAGAGGGCGTCACGTCATCAGCGCAACTGATCCCCATGACAGTTAATCTCGGTTTTCTACACCGGAGCTTCTAGTTCCTTGAAATAGCTCCTCAGTTATCCTCACGAGGCTAAGTGAACCCCGTTTCACACACAGTAATTCTGAGAAAATCTGGTAGCGCCGGGAATCGAACCGGGAACTTCTGGATCTGTAGGCAGGAACTCTGACCACTAGACCACAAATACGCCCAAGAAATTCACCAGACAGACCAGCACGTAAGGCTATTGAACGGTGTCTTAAATGTATTAAATATTACGGATCACAGTAGAACAATACAAAAAACGGAAATTATTTGTACTACGTGAAAATTTTTATAAGAAATCGCAGACAGTTGCAGAAATACGTAAAGTGAGAATGTCAGCATTTATGAGACTGCTGACAATCTCATGAGCAACATAGGCCAGACATCGCTCTACACCTGAAATGTGGAGCACAGGTCTGGGCTCTGACTTGCATCGAGTTGTTGTAACAGAGCGATAAGAAAAAAGCGAGTTCTGGAAAGAAATAATCTACTTTCCTTTGTACGACACGGACCGCAGAGAAAACGAAAGAAACGTTAAGGTGAAATTTCAGAAAATGTAAAACAACAACACAGTGGTCGTGCCTTCAGCAGAACATCAACAGCTAGACGTAAGAATCTGATATTTTACGCAATGATTATAAACATTCCTACCAATTGGGTATGGGTCCCGGTAAGGGAAATAATTTTCACTTTTCCACGTGGTCCAGACCGGCTCTGCGGCCCACGCAGCCTCCTATCCAGTGGGTACTGGAGAGTTCTTTCCCCCGGGGTAACGCGGCCGGAGCGTGATGTTGACTACTCAGCTCCAACTAGTGCCGAGGTCAAAAAAACGTGGGTTCGAACATGATTCGAGGTGATCTTCCCCTCAAGATGTACATATATGTTCTTCTCAGCCGAAGATCAGAGCAAATGATTCTCATGAACGTCGGCCATGATTACAGGACCTGAACCTCCGAAGCACTACATACTCGCATGGATAAACAGGCAGGAGCACGTGGGCAGCGAGTGTGACGTCCCGCGTTGTCAGATAGACACACACATAATTGGTTCGCCGAAGTAAGGCGCAGCAAAAAACAATTTCCGTGGGAAACTTTCAGCTCGGTTTAGATCTCAATCCAGGTCCCATACAGGCCTGGATTATATCTCCTGCAGGCCCCATACAGGCCTGGATAGTATATCATGCAGGTCGCATACAGGCCTGGATAATATTCCCTGCAGGTCCCATACAGGCCTGGATAGTATCTCCTGCAGGTCCCATACAGGCCTGGATAATATCTCCTGCAGGTCCCATACAGGCCTGGATAATATCTCCTGCAGGTTCCATACAGGCCTGGATAATATCTCCTGCAGGTTCCATACAGGCCTGGATAATATTTCCTGCAGGTTCCATACAGGCCTGAATAGTAGCCTATGCAGGTCCCATACAGGCCTGGATAATATCTCCTGCAGGTCCCATACAGGCCTGGGTAATAACTTCTGCAGGTCCTATACAGGCCTGGATAATATCTCCTGCAGGTCTCAGGCCTGGGTAATATCTCCTGCAGGTCCCATACAGGCCTGGATAATATCTCCTACAGGTCCAATACAGGCCTGGATAATATCTCCTGCAGGTCCCATACAGGCCTGGATAATATCTAATGCGTGCATCCGATTCTGCTCAGCCCTGCGGTTTCTCTTTTCTTCTTCATAATCATTCTTGTTAGAAAGAAAAGAAGATATAACGAAGGCAGTGCAGAAGGAAGAATGATCCCATATGAACACGTTGTGCAGACAGCACACAGTAACAGAGCCAAGATACGTGGTTGACGCACTTACCCGTCGAGGTACTCAAGCGAGAGGCTGATGCTGTCGTCAGGGGAGTAGATGAGTCGCTCGACGCCCACCCCGCGTCCCTCAGGCGTCGTCTCGTTCGCTGCAACATCACATGAAGACCCTTAAAGCTATACACACACTCGAATTGTTTTTTCGTGAGTTTTTGTGGGTCCTCTCATTTACTTTACTATTCTGCCAGACACGTATGTCGGACTCCTCAGCAAAATGACTCGTAATGTACTATCTCTAATTTGTCATCAGTTAAAGTCAGAGCATCACAATGACATCGTGGGTTAGCGCAGTCAGTATATTGACTGGTTACTGGCTGGACGACCGAGGGGTCGGAGTTCGAGTCCCGGTAGGGTCAAGAATTCTCTCTTCTCCCCGTCGTCCAGACCGGCTCTGAGGTCCACACAACTTCCTATTTAGCGGGTACCGGGGGCTCTTTCCCCGTGGATAAAGGTGTGGGGGCTTTACGCCACTCACCTCCAACTAGTGACGAGGTCAAGAAAACGTGGATCTACACACATTTGCAGATTTGCATACGTTTGCTGATAAGCTACGTTAATCTGAATTTCCACATTTGAAATAATTTATCCAGGTCTAATGAACAGATATCAGCAAACAACTTGTTTCCCATTGAAATATAGTTGACATTCCTGGCGCATATGGAATATTTTTTGCTCACCTGTTCCATTGTTCAGTGACAGAGAAATACTTTCGTCTATTTTCTTTTTTCATGCTTGTGTGTAATAGTCAGGAGGGTGGAGAAAACTGCATAATGTGAAGCTTCATAACTGGTACTCTTCTCCAAGTATAATTAGAATGATCAAGTCAAGGAGGATGAGGTGGGCAGGGCATGTAGCACGAACGGAGGAGACGATGAATGCATATAGGATACTGGTGGGAAAGCCAGAAGGAAAGAGACCACTGGGAAGACAAAGGCGTAAGTAGGTGGACAATATAAAGTGGATCTTAGAGAGATAGGCTGCAACGGTATAGATTGGACTGATCTTGCTCAGGATAGAGATCAGTGGAGGGCTCTTGTGAACACGGTAATGAACCTTCGGGTTCCATAAAATGCTGGGAAATTCTTGAGTAGCTGCAGAATTGGCGGCTCCTCAAGAAGGGCTCAGTTCCATGAGTGAGTGAGTGAGTGAGTGAGTGTGTGTAATAGTGTTTCTTATTCCTGTCAGTAAAGGTTTTCTTTCTTCCGTTTGATAGTCATTTCCGAAACACGGCTTATTTGTCTTCAATTCCTGTTTCAGATGTCCGTCCCCGGAAACAAAACGCAAGCTTATTCACTCATTAAATATTGAAATGACCTCCCCTGTGCCTAAGCACCATGTAGGCCGATATGAATGAGTCTGCAGAGTACAGAAGTATGTAATAATCTAGGAAGTCATAGACTCAGCGCCTTCCCCGCTTTACCATAGTCGAATGAGCCCGCGGTACCCATTTGAGGCCGGCCGAGCCTCAGAGCTGGTGTGGACGAGTCTATAGCAGTTCCGCAGGAAGTCGAACCCCGATAGTTCAGCATGTATCCACTTTCATGAGCGCAGTGCAGTCTGGGAGTGCAATTCAGATAAAAACATTTAAGCGGTTCTAATACAAATCATCCTCACAAAAGAAAACCTACAGACCCAGACACATTTATGAATACAGACAGATGTACTGCGCGTACATAGACATGTACGATTCATAATAAACATATATAGGACGGGCTTACATAAGCCTACACATACACAGTCTCAAACACACACGGGGTCTACGCATTACATGAAAACGCACGCATGCCACATGCAGCCCTACATACTTACATACAGCCTGCTCACTAACGCGCTCATACACAACCCATGTCCCACTCACCGCGTTCAGGGTGCTTCGCGTAGAACTCATGCCGACGCCTCATTTCGGCATGGAAGAGGCCGGGCACCAACTTGTACACGATGTCCTGCAGCGCCTTGTCCGGTCTGCAGCAGAGACAAACCAAAACATGTTTCAGTGTGCTATTCCGAAACTGTCAACAGGAACACAGGGATAACTGTGAATACATCTTGAAGACAAGCCGACGGAAACGACATTAGCGTCACTTAAAACAAGGTCATGAAAAGTTAAGTGATAATAGAACTTAAAGATAGGTTAGATGAAAATTTACTTTCAATAATTTTTGAAGAATGTTAAACAACTTACAGAAATCGCAAGGAAACTTATTTTAATTTCCATTCAACCGTGACAAGCAATCAATCATTTTAGAGGTTAGAAATACCAATATGGCGACGGGGCGAAAATCTAGCATTTTATGCATATCTGGAAAACTCAGACGCCATGAGAGTGAAAACTATGCACACAAATGGGCCTCGAACTTGTAGTCTCATGGCACAGAACGAAGCACCTGAAGAAACTTACGCATCGTACGCCTCTTAATGGATTTACAGCAACTGACTCAAGGAATTTATATTTGGCCTTTCATGTGGCGGCAATAATAAGCTGTTTCCACCAGGAATGTAATATTCGTAGGCCACAGCTGCAAACGTGGGTGTTCGCAAATTATATTACAGCCAATTATTTCCAATATGACAATGGTGCGGATTTTTTAATAGTGCCTCAAAGAAATGGACTAACGAAAATCTGAAGTTTGGAAGTGATACACAGCAACAGAACGTTAATTTCTGTAATGGTTGCTTATAATTCCTGCCAATTGGTCTCTTAGGCTTATATCTAGGAGCATTGAAAGCAGATCTGTAAGTTCTTGAAAGGATACTCACTTGATATTGAGGAACGGTTTCGCTTTGTGAATCTGCACGTCGCAGATGGGGCAGAAACTGTTGCTCTCCAGATATCTGATGAGGCAGCTCCGACAAACTAGAAAAAAAAATAAATAAATAAAATGACACTCGAAGCCAAGTGAGACTATCGAGCAAACCACCTAGTCTAATCGTACGGGAGTAAAAGTAAAATCTACATTAGCGGCCTCCGTAGTCTAGGGGTAACGTTCCCACCTCATGACTCAAGGTACGCGGGTTCAAACCCGGCGGAGGTCGTGGAATTTTTAAGGGCGGAAAAATTCAGGGAACAAGTCCTCCGGGAGGGACTTTAAGCCGTGGGTCCCGTGTCGTAGCTTTACGGCACGTAAAAGAACCTCATGTCTCTAGGAGACCTCTGAGCAAAATTTGGCAAAAAGTTTCCCGCCCAAAGTAGTTTCCAATGCCTCCGGTAGATGGGGAAGTATTAGGTACCACTGCCAGAGAAGGGGGACCTCTCTGAAAGAAAGGGACCAACTATTAGATACCACTGCCAGTAGAAGGTTGGAACCTCGCTGGCAGAAAGGGGCTAATAGCGAGCACCAGTGCCGGTAGGGTATGGAGACAGTAGAAATTAAAAAGGGGGATGCACAATGGACCAATAACTGGTCTAAGTTCATGGGGAAACCCACCCCCTCTATACTCAATACTCAATACTCAACATACTCCTCACTTAATGAAAAAAATACATTCCTTGAAATTCTTTCGTTAAGCGAAAATCAGATAAACGGAAAATATTTGCTTGTAATTTAAAGATAATTTTTAGTGATGTGTTAAATCGTGCCACATTTCTGGCTGCTAGGCGCTGGCTCCTCTTGGATTAAGTCCCGGGTGATCTCATGTGGGCTCCGCGGTACTAGAACAGAGGTTTCATTCTATTTCTTCAGTTTTGCCCCGCTATTCATTTTTCCACGAGAGGACCAATCCCAGTTATTACGTTCCCTTGACGTATGCGTCAACTCTGACCAGGCAGCACAGCAATACGTCATGGGTAGTTAAGTTCAGGGCTTCATCTCTGGTCTGGCATTTAAGCAGTCAGGAAATAAGGCGGTTGTTTTTATTGTTGTTTAGAGAGACGACGAGCCAGATAACACATAAAATTAGCCTTTGTATTAATGATGGAAAGTAACTGCACTGTACTTGTACTAACACAGCCTGTGTGTTCATGTAATGTTAATCTGTACCTTCCCCTCAGGTTATTAGTATGATTAGCTGAAGGAGAGTGAGGGACGCAGGATATGGAGCAGGCCTGCTCTTGCGAATTACTGCCGTCTGTGATGTAAAGTAGAGTAGATAAATAACTTCTGTAAACTGATGATAGACGCAGCGTGTTTTTCCGAAACACTTGTCGCCTCCCACTCAACGCTTCGAGCACCATCTCACATGGCGGAGGTGAGAAGTGGAGGATAAAGGCATACGAAACTTGGTCACGATATCTCAAAGGGAAGAGGCCAAATGGGTATGAAATATCAGGCATAAATGAACTGTAGAAAAATAGTGTGTGGACTGGATTCAGCTGGCCCAGAACAGGATCTAATTACGGGGTCCTAAATTAAAATATCCCTTACACTAAAATGACCGTCTCTGTGATCTAGTGATCAGAACTACTGGCTACACATCCAGAGGTCCCGGGTTGGATTCCCGGGGCTACCAGATTTTCTGAGAAGTAGTGGGTCTGGAACTGGGTCCACACAGCCTCGTGAGGATAGTTGAGGAGCAATTTGAAAGATATAGCGACTCCGGTCTAGAAACCCGAGATTAACGGCCGTGGGGGATCCGTTGCGCTGACCACGCGACACACTCTATCCGCTTAAGTTGGCAATAACTTCGCCGAAAAGCGGTGATCGGTCGGTATACTTCGCTTGAGGACGGAGTTACACTAAAATGTTCTTTGTAATTTAATTATAAATAAATATAGACATTTTAACTACTCGGTGTATGAGAGACTTGGCTTTATGATTGACGAATGTATAATAGAATACAACCAACGTTATCAAAGAATGCGCGGGAAAATAAACTGGCAGTAAAAGAGAGATGAAAGAAAGTTAGAAGATTGAGTGATTCTTGTTCTCTTGAAAGACACATTTTCAAGGGCACGAGTTTTATAGCGTCGAATGGTAGACGTATGGAAATAATAAATTAGGAAACATGTAGAAGGAATTGGTTGCGACCTGTTTTAAAATACTATTCCAGCATTCGCCTGGAGGAAATAAGAAAAACAATAAAGAAAACTCTGGCGAAGTAGTCAGTCTCGGAGCCTAGATTCGAACGCAGTATATGAAGCTGAATCAGATCGTGACGTTCGATGAAATTAGAAGTGTGTAAAGCAATGGAAGTTCGTCCATTTTCATGTGGGAGTGAAATTTGCTATCAAAAAATACACATTCGTATTACAACGTTCAAGTGTTACGCAACAGCCTCAGTTCCCTCGCTTCCTTCTTAACTATTTTCTTTATTGCTAGTGGGGTGGTCCCTTGTACTGCCGCCACTTCTGGCCTATTGTACCAGCCCCAGATGATAGGTGAGGGTGATTGTGGAGCAATTGGTGGAATGAAGATTGGCAGGGGAAACCGAAGTACTCGGAGAAAACCTGCTCCAATGCCACTTTGTCCACTACAAATCCACTTGACCAGACCCAGGATCGAACCCGGGCCGTCGCTTCCTTCCTACCTAACTCCATGGAGATGAAACTTTCTTGAGAAGCCGCCAGTTGTGCAGATACTAAAAAATTTCCCAATATTTTATGGAACCCGAAGGTTCATTACCGTGTTCACAAGAGCCCTCCACTGGTCCCTATCCTGAGCCAGACCAATGAAGTCCATACTACCCAAACCTATCTCTCTAAGATCCATTTTAATATTATCCACCAGGCAACGTCTTTTTCTTTTAGTGGTCTTTCCCACTAATGTCCTATATGCACTCTTATTCTTCTTTCCCATTCGTGCTACATGCTTTGCCCATCTCATCCTCCTTGACTTGCTAATTCTAATTATACTTGGAGAACAGGAATTCCTTCCTACCTATAACGTTCAAATGTACGCGTACAATCCTGTCTATATTTCACTATACTAACAAACTAGGTAAACGTAAAGCTGTCCTGTAGCTGACCATGAAGGGCCAGAGAGTTGTGAGATGTCCAAACTCCCACATTTTCTCTAGACAATCGGCTGACAGATGACGCTGAAGCTGTCAGCCTCACACGCCGGTAGCCCAATACTCCCAGGAAGATTCTGTTAGAGGCTAAGTCGATATTCCCCATTTCCACTTACTTAATTTGTCTTAGGTAGGCTAACATATATTTTCCTGAGTACTTACTCAACAGGTTAATTATGTCCCACGTGACGCGCACTTCGAAACGAGTTACTCACAGCTTATGCTAATGAGCCACTGCCTGGCAGACGAGGCCAGAGAAGGGAACAGGTTTACTTAGGCGATAACGTTGCTCGTTTCCATTCGGGAGGCACCGGCTTCACGTCTAAACCGGACCATGAATAAAGAGCAGCTTCTAAAGGGCTCTGACGGTGGCGGATGACACACAGAATTACTGGGGTTTTGGACTTTTTCTATCGCCCGGAATTCTAGGTAATAGAGGACATGACGTTTCGGAAACTGGATCTGTTTCCGTCTTCAGGTGAGAAAGGAAGACACCTACTCAGTTGGGCCCCTTCTTCGCATTGGTGCTCATGCACTTGGTTTTTGTTAGCTAGTTTTTCAACATAAATTTTCTACCTCCTTTTCTACTCTAGTTCCACGTACGTGCGTGCTTTATCACAATTTTTATTTCATGGTTTCTTGTTATCACCCGTTGAACTAGCCTAGTCTTAAATGTTGAAATATCTGAGTAAATCTGATAGGAGTTGTCCAGTGATTGAGATTAGCTCTTTCTAAGGGGCTCAACTTAGTAGGTGTCTTCCTTTCTCACCTGAAGACGGAAACAGATCCAGTTTCCGAAACGCCGTGTCCTCTATTACTTAGAATTCCAGACGATGGGAAAAGTCCAAAAACCCAGTAATTCTATGAATAAAGAGGTAAATCTCTGTTCTTGCTGGAAATCGAGTAACTTCCAGTCACAGTTAACCTAAACACCCAGATTACTTGTCTCTGCTAATGTGTCTTAGTCACGTTCCCACTGCAGGCACCTTCCGTTTGAATGCTTTATAGTTGCGGCAATTAGCACTGGGGCGACGCACAGAGCGGGAAGGGTGTAGTGTAGTAAGGGTGAAGGATTTGGGGGGGGCGATTTACAACTCAGTGCGGCGCGGGCATGGTATATATATAACCAGTGACACTATGGCAAGTAGGGAGGGATCAAACGCAATTTCATCCTAACATCACAACTTATTTTATTTCTTCGTAATTTCCTGCAAAAATTGCGGTGCCTCTATTGTTGGTCTGTTCCTTTCACTTTCCTTTTAGAAATGCATAGCAAAGTGTAGGCTCAACAAGCAGATCTAGGCACGTTTTCAAAACGAGTTATTTGCACTGTTGCGCACATCGCTGGCCTTGATGTCCACTAGGGTCTGGAATGCAGCAAAATGAACCAATAGAGACACAACTTCGTACTGTTTGCCCATGACACTGACAGATGCCTCAAATTCAGTTTAGGCACTAGATGTGGGTCTATAGTAGGAGCTGGGATAGCTCATTCGCCATAGCAACGGGCTCCGGGATGAACGGTCGGGGTTCGGTTCCAGAGAGGAAAGAGATCTTTCTCTTCTCCACAGTATCCAGACCGGTTCTGTAGTTACTGGGTAGTTACTGTAGGTACTGGGAGCCATTTCCCTGGGGGTAAAGAGGTAGGGGCGTGAAGCCGACCACTCATTTCCATCTAGTGCTGAGATCAAGAAAGGTGGAATTAATAAATGCATAAGGGGTGGGCATTCTTAGCCCTTTCTACCCTGAAGATGGAGACGATATGTTCCTGCGAAACGTCGGTTCACACAAGATCTACACGGCGCCACATCCAAGAAGACGACATTCTTCATTGTCATCGCTGTGAAAACCTCAAATCTTACATATTAAATTCCAGTCCTCAGTAATAACAAAGTGGCGGAAGCAGGA